CCCCCAGAATCCTGCAGCTAATGAACAATTGGCATAGAGGTACAAAAGGCTGGCTTTTATGCTTCAAGGTGGGACTGGTTCTGGGGGACCCTTCCTGCTCCAGGGCTACCTGAGAAATGAAGCTATATCTGGACTCCAGCTCTATGCATAGGTCCTTCCTCTGGTCTACCCTACTTCTCTTACTTCCTTTCTCCTAAAACCACTCCTTCAGTAAAGCACAGGAGCCCAAATCCCTGTCTCAGACTCTACTTTTAGGAAACCCACCCTAAGGTAGTTGGTACAAAGAATACTCTTCAGAGCAAATTCTAAAGATGAGATTCTGGAGTTGATCGCTTGCCAACTAGCTGGCAATGAGGACGTTGTTGGTGGTGGTAGAGTGGGAGATTTGAAAGACCATGCCCTGATGTAGGAGAGCAATTGCTCACCTGTGGGCCCACTGAAAGGGATACAAATTGAAGGAGATGCACCGGTTTGTGTAGTATCTCTGGCACTTGAGAGGTATGGGACAAATAGTAATTAAAGGACTGTGGGATTGGTGGTTACTACTGATCATCATTAATGCACTAAAGAGAGAACATGACAGGCTTAGGCAATCAATTATCAATTCAAAGCAAAAGGTGAAAGACAGAGGCTTCCTTGTCAATGTTAAACAAACAAACAAATACACTAATAAAAAAAAAAAAATCTCCTATAGCCAGAAAGTAACCAAGCTGTAAACTAAAACCAAACTCAAGACTTTCAGTAAAGCAAACTTGTTACATCAAAGTCAGGGCCTGATACAGGTTGGAAGGGACTGAGTGGGACTGAGATGTGGATGGATGTTTCTGGGGAGATGTGCTAGATGAGCCAGATTCCCCTGAACTTCTAAGGAACCCAGTCTAAGACAGAAATAGAAGATGAGCTCAGCTTACAACACGCTGAGTAGAGGTGTCTATGAGAGTTTCAAATAGAATTAATAATCATCTTGGGCTGCCTGGGTGGCTCAGTTGGTTAAGTGTCTGGCTTTGGCTCAGGTCATGATCTTGCGGTCCTGGGATCGAGCCCCGCATTGGGCTCCCTGCTCAGTGGTGAGCCTGCTTCTCCCTTTCCCTCTGCCCCTTCCCACCCCCCGCTCTCTCTCTCAAATAAATAAATATAATCTATAAAAAAAAAAGAGAAAGAGAGAGAGATGGACTGAGCCAAAGACACTAGGGCAGAGTGGCCAGAGAAAAGCAAGGGAATTCAGAGGAGAAACTAAAAGGAAAGTGTGTGGTCGGGGGGAGATGAGTAGGGTAAGGTGTGTGTGAAAGGATTAAATAGGGCAAAGTGACCTAATGACCCTGGTGAGGGTCCAGGGGTGGTGGAAGCCAGACTACAGTTATTGAGGACCCAAATCAAGCTTTTTAAAGGCGTTTGTCTCTGAAGAGGAGGTAAGAGAAAATTGGGAGCTGAAGGGAGATGTTAGGAAAGGTTTGTCAACTTGTGTTTAGGATGGAGAGACTTCAGCATTGTGGGTCAGTGAGACTTGGGACCAGCCTGGCTACCAGTCAGGGGAGGGACATCTCCGAGACATGGGATAAGGCCAGGATTCCAGTCTGAGTCCTGCTCTGCCACCCCCTCAGGCAGATTATTTTGCCTCTCCAGGCGTCATTTCCATGGTAGCCTACTTCAAAATACTGCTGAGGGTAAGTCAGAAATGCACGTGAAGGCACTCTACCAATAATAACCATTATTTCCAAATAAGAAAGGCAAAGGAAGACACCTCCAAGCTTTTCAAGCCCAAGAGTCTGCGAAATAGTTGTGTGGACGATTGAATCAGGGGAATCCTGACAGGAAAATTTTGGAGAAGGGACAAGATTGGTTCATGCCGGCTGATACTGAAGTCATGGCAGGACAACAAAAGTGGAAATACTTAGCAGCTATGGGGAGACAGGGCCCAGATGCAGGAGAGCAATCGGGGATGGCGAGAGACTGCTGTCGTTCCTCAACCCAGAGGTGAGCAGGAGTCAACACCAGGTTGTGTAAAGCTTGGCAACGCCACAGAAGAATACCCCTAACTGCTGTGCATTCAGCAAGTACTTGGTGTCGGGCCCTTTACCTGTGATATCTGCAAGCCCCATGATTATCTGCACTTCACAGTTGAGCAAATGGAGGCCAGAAAGGTCCCCCAACTAATAAATGACGCAGCTCAGAGTCAGACACAGTCACTCTGGCTCCCAAACCTACATTCTTTCCACTACCTCATGCTGCTCCCAAGCATGGTGTCTTAGGGGACGAGGGGAAACAGCCCCCTGGACAGAGGACTGATGAGAGGGTGTGACGTATGGAGGCTGAGAAAGGATAGAGTTTCCAGACTGTGGAACTGGCAAGCAGTGCCCCAGACTGCAGACAGTAAGGATGAGGGCTGAGAATCACTACTCAGTGATTTGGTGGGCAGAGGGTTCTCCGAACCGCAGACAGTGAAGGCGGTGGGCCGGGGCAGGGCGGTGGGGGGCCTCTGTCAGTAAAAACCAAGGTGCCCACAGAGGAGTAGTCCCGCCTCCTCCCATATCCTGCTCTGGGGCTGGTGGAGAAGCTCCTTCAGGAGGCCTGCTGGCCGCTTCACGTAGCTAATCAGGGAAGTAAAAGCCAAAGCACTCAGCCTCACGCGGCTCGCGACTTCATTAGGGACACTAGCTTCCAAATGTGACAACCAGAGAACACACTGCCCGACCGGAGCACATGTCTGCCCCAAGACTCCTCCCACTGCTGTGACTTCTGTCAACTTCTGGGGGGGGGGGGGGACCCGAGCTCCAGAGAGAGACTAGGCCGGCCCTCTGGGAGGCATCTGTGTGTGACCCATGACCTCCCCAACAGCATGTGCCTCTGGGGGAGAAAACAGGGTACAGGACGGAAACCTACGTAGCATCAGCATGTCGGGGATAGGCAGAAACCAGTGGGAAATGATGCTGGGAAAGAGTAGCCAGAGGGGAAGGAGGACATACAAGACTCCAGGTAGGGGAGAGGTGAGCTGAGGCTGAGTCCCTCATTCAAGTGCCTCCTTTGACCCAGAGCCCTGAGGTGCCTCCTCCTCTCTCTAGACTTGCCGTGCTGGCCCACAGCTTTCCCAGCCCCTCCAGCAGATTCAGCCTTATTTCCTCCTTCCTACCTCGTTTTCTGAATTCACAGGCCAGTGAGTGTCGTCCTTAGGAGAGAAACAAGGCTCTGGACTCTTCTCTCCCGTTCCACTTCCGCACCTCACTGGCTGCAGGTCAAGAGAGGACAAGCAGAATTCCTCTGCGGGACGGCCTGGCGCCCCGGCGCCTCTGCCTGAGAAGCTTCCAGCTGCCACCCCCGCCACCACCCCCCCGCCCCCGCCTCCCCGGAAACACCAGCCTTCTCATCAATTCCTCAGGTGAAGAATTCGTCTCTCCTCTGGTTCCTGTCCGAAAATATAAATGTACCTGGACAAGTAACAGAGTTTGTCTCAAACACTCTAGAGCAAATCACTGAGAAGACTTCTTTGGTGTGTCTTAGATTATATACTTTGGGAGCCCCGGACAGCTGGAGTTGACACCAAGAGATGGTTTAGGGAACAGAAAGGGAAGGTGGAGGGGCTGACGAGAATTGTAGCCCGTTACGCAATTATGTCCTGCATTAACCTCATCCCTTGGCTTGGGTTCAGTGGAAGTTGTAAGGATTCATTTGTAGCCGAGGCTGTAGATGCTCCAGCCATATCCCCTTGGCCTACCTTAGAACTCACCTGAAGAAATTTTCCAAACAGTGGGGAAAGTCAGATATCTGGAGAGTTAAAGTCCTGCAGAAACAAATGGGAGTCCATTTGTTCTGAGGGTCACCAGCCTAACTGGCCCCCAGTTGCCTGCAGTAATAACCCCTTCATCAGTGCACCTTTTATTGCTCACCTTTCAGAGTGCTTGAAAAAAAAATACTCACACCCAAACTCTTGTTTCAGATTTTGTTTTGAAAGTCCATATACAATGGACTTTCCCTGTTGTTCTTCATACTGAGGAGGGGAAAAGTAGGGAGTTGTTTGCTTCACAAACAACCCACAGACCAACCACAGACCATAAAAGCAAAAGTTGTTTGCTTCACAAACAACCCACAGACCAAGAATTTAGACATATACATCAAAATTTTAAATGCCCATATCCTTTGACCCAGTAATTCTACTTCTAGAAGTTTCACTTAAGAAAACTAACAGACTGTGTGCAAAAAACGTATGTGTGAGGATGTTTATTACCATGTAGAAGAGTAAAAATTGGGAAGCAACTTAAATTTCCAGCAGTAGCAACTTGGTTAATCTTATGCTGCCATGAGAAATAATGAATTGGGGCGCCTGAGTGGCTCAGTCAGTTTAGCATCTGCCTTTGGCTCAGGTCATGAGCTCTGGGTCCTGGGATGGAGCCCAGCGTGAGGGCCCCCTGCTCAGCAGAGTCCCTTCTCCCTCTCTCCCTTTGCCCCTCCCCCCCAAATAGATGGATAAAAAGTCAAAAAAAAAAAAAAGAAAGAAATCGATTTTTCTACATCTTCCCATGTCTATGGTAAGTTAAGTGAAAATGCAGGTGACAAAGCATCATGTGCAGCATAATCTACTTTTGTAAATACTACATTTATGTGCAAACGTGTGCAGGGAAGAATCTGGAAGGATGACAACAAAATGTTAACAGTAGTTATCTTTGGGCATAAGAATTGGGAATTGTGGATCATTTTCATTTCCTTCTTTACACCTTTATGAACTGGAAAAAAAAAACATACTTTTTTTCTTTTTACCCCGAAAACCACTTTTAAAACTATCCCCCAAAAAAATTGTAAAGAAAAGAAAAGAAAGTAATGGCCTCAGCCACATAGAAGTGAATTCCGTAGCTAAAACTTGTGAGAAGAGAACAGAAGGAAGGCATCCCACTTAGCGGGAGCCAGAGCTCGGCAGTGGCTGTTGTAAGCGAGTCAGCAACTACATCTGCTAACCGGCGGCCGTCACGTGTCCAGCATGTGTGGCCCCATCTGACTCCGAGGAAACACGCGCAGCCCCGCATCCATGCTTCGGGTCGCTTGTCGGGCTGGGCGCAGCCCCCTACCTCTGCAGACCTCCTCCCCTCCCCCCTCCGGCCAAGAGCCCCAGCTGGCACTCAGCAGGTCCCTTTCCAATTTGCTGCACTTTCGGGAGTTCGTTATTCCCACGGGAAGGAGGAAGAACTCGTTGCCATGGCGATGTGAGCCTCCCAACCCTGAGACCTGCCCCGGAGGCCCGATCCTTCCCCGCGCAGCCCCGCCCGGCCTCCCTGGCTCGGGGCGGCCACGGTGGGCCCGCCCTGCCCTGTTGGAGAAGGTTTTCAGGCTCCAGATTCTTTGGGCTTGAGGGAAGGAGGGGCCGTTAATTAGGAACGCAAGGTAAGAGAGAAGGGGAAGTGAAGGAAGAAACATGGATGAGAAGGTTTTCTTTACAAGCCCCCTGGCCACTCGGCCCTTTCCTCCCACCCACCGGGACTCCTCAAATGCTGTCTCCCTGGTGGTGGAGCATTTGGCTGGGGATGTCGGACACTCTTACTTTCCTCTCAACGTCTTCCAGGAACCCCCGGGCATTTTTTTTTTTTTTTAAGTTTCTGGAACGTAGCACACTGGAATGAAGCTTTAACCTCTCCTGCCCCTCCAGCCGGGGACTGAAAAGTAGGGGGAGCGGGAGCGAGCGGGTCGGAGCGACCAGCCGAGCCCTGCGACCGGGGGTGGAAGGGAGGCGACGCTTTCTGCGCCCGGCGCTGCACCGCCCTGCCCGGGCCCGGGGCCACGGCGCGGACAGCGGTCGGGGTCAGGTAGGAGACACGCGGCCCGCCGGGACCACCGCGCGTCCCCCGCCCCCCGCCGCCAAAGCCCAGCGGGAGGCGGCGCGCAGAGCGGGCGCGGTGGCGGGGGGGGGGGGGGGCGGGCGGTCACGCGCGCCGCCCGGGGGCTGGGGCTACGCCCCGTCGCCCAGGCCACGCCCACCCCTTGGAGCCCCTGGGCTGCCTAGGTGCCTCCCCCGTTGGCAGCGCGGAACGCCCAGACCTTAGCTCTCAGAACCCTGTCTCCTATTACTCACCCCAGGGTGGCTGCCCAGGGAAAAGCTCCAAGCATATCACTGACTGGCCTGCTGGAAACCCTTTCATCTCTGCTCCATCCGCAGCAGCTCTTTGATTAACTGCCACTGGAGCCTCCAACCATCGCCACGCTGTAAATCCCTGGGTGCCCGCCGGCTCAGATCTGGGGCACGTGTACACCCAGGTGCTCCGCCTTTCTTCAGCCTTCTTCCCTCTTCCTGCTGCCTCCCTATCCTTGAAGCCTTAGGACTTGTGGTGGCAATGAACCTTAGGTTCTTCCAGGAGTCTTTTTCCTTCCAGCCCCTTCGTGCACCCACCTACCCCAACACGTGCCTTTTTCCTTCAGCTACGCCGTTCCTCCCCTCAGTGTCCACGCACACGCGCGCCCGCGCCCGCGCAGGCCTCTTCCCTTCCCTTCCATCAGGCCCGTGAGAAGTCCGCTCCCCCAATGGCGAGAGCACAGGCGGTGGACAGGTGCCCACGCAGCCCAAGAGCAGCAGGCCCACGTGGAAACAGTGCTTTTGACAAGCCGAGGCATCGTATTTCATGAGTGAGCCAAATGTAGAAAGGATTAGCTGTTTCACCCAATAAGCCCACATCTGTAGTTACATTCTGATGGGGATAAAATTACTCTGGTTATTAATCCTTCTGCTTTAGGGTATAAGCTGATCACCAGCTGGGCTCAGGGAAAAAAATTCTATCCCGGCTCCTGCCAGGCTCCTCCCCATCCTCACCTGCCCTGCCTTCTGTGCTGCGTTGTTGCGCTTTTAGGTCTGCAGACCAAGCTGAAGGCCACCAGTGGAGGCCCCTCTGAGACAGAGGAGCTCCAGTCTGTTCTGCAGAGGACATCCCTCCAATCACGTGACTGTGTATTGGGACTCTACTTTCGGCAAAACCTCGCTGGTCTTCACTGTGGCGGAAGCAAAGATGATTCCTAAACGGCCGTGGCTTTTTCCTGCGGAGGAAAGCTGAAGTGGGCGGTCCGAACCCGCCGGTGGTTTCTGGGACTTTCTGCCCTGAGGCGCCCTGGGTGTATCCAGTGGCCTAGGGGGCATCCATTTTGGGCCCGGCAGGATTTTTCTAAGCCAACAAGGAAGGGGTTTCTGTAGCCTTCGCCTCTGTGGCTTCTCCCCTATGGGAAACCAGCAGGACAGGTAGCTTTGTTTCCATCCAGATCCTTTCTTTTTAGACCCCAACTCAGCGGGCACTGGCGACTTCTGGGAGTCTCCCTGTCCCTGGGTGACAGAGGCGCCGTCGATAATTACATGGAACTTTCCTGAGCAAACCAGGGTGTGTTCGCCTTACCTGAGGGGTCCTTGACGTTTGCAAGGGCCATGCTAGGAGACGCCACTGAAACACGGCAGTGAGTTAGCTCCTTCTTGAATCTTTAATCCCTTTTAAGAATTTTAATGGGCATTCTGAGAGAATTTCTGTCTTCTAAAGACATTTCCCTAGGATCACTTTGCTGTAGAGAACTGGCAGACTCCTCCAAAGGAAACTAAAGATTAATATGCATTTTTAAGCCACTCCTGTTTTTAATACTGTTCAGTTCTTATTGCAGTGTTGAATGAAACACTCACTTTTAAAATGAAAACAAACAAACAACGCCAGTCCTGGTCCTCTTCTGTGGACACCTATTTCAGCGCTTCCCCTCCCCTCCCCTGGTTTGCCCCATTTCCTGAAGCCTCTGTATTTCCACTCTCTGACCCTGGATCAGCCCAATGATCTGCTTTTATTGATGCTATCTGTGTCTAAGATGCTGGGAGATAATAGAGATTGTCATCAATAATATTCTTTAAGTGAATAAATCAGGATTGACACTGTGACACAATTATGCTTCCCACCCTTGCTCAGTTGCTCTTCTGGCTTTCTCCTTCCCAGGCCTTCGGTAACCCAAATCTCCATCTACCCTCTAACTCTTGGCAGTGGCCCTAACTTCTCCAAGAACAAAAACCAAAAACAAAATAAACTTGAGATATGAGCTTCTCAAACTTTCTAAACTCTCTTCCACCTCCAAACTACGTATATTCATGAACACCCCTCTTCAATAAAAACTACCCTCCTTTCTGCTCCATCTGCATGGCCCCTGTGGTTGCTGGCATATACTTACATATATGCCTCCTCCTCACCACCTTGCCACAATTTGTTGGCCCACAGTTGGGCTTCTAAAGACTCGAGATGGACCAATGAGAACCTTTCTATAGAATTTTGGGTCAGTCCAGTCTGTCTCCTGTGGCTGCAGCTGTCTGTCTTGTATCCTCATCAGACTGAAGAAGCTGAGGACCTACAGGGGATATAAATATGTTCATCTCTGTATCCAAAAACTAAATAATAAAACAAAGACTTTCTTTCATCTCTGTCCCTCCTCCAGTTTCCAGCCCCTTCCCTCCTCCAGCTCCATTTTCTTACCTCCTATAATACCCATCTACTGCTACCATCTGGTTCCCTCTCCTCTTCCCTCTGTCAACCTAAATAAAGAGGTAAACTGAGGCAAGCTCAAATCACCAGAAATGGGGTTTATTTGGGAATAACAGAGCAACTGCAATTCAGGAAACGTATGCTGTAGCAGCAACAGGCGAGTCCGTTGAGGGTTTGGGGCAGGCTAGATTTATGGGCAAGTTGTGCAAAGAGGGGGATGTCCAGCCAGTGTCCAAGTAGGAAGTTCACGGGCTTGAAGAGGGGGAATGATTCCTGACAGATGTTCATTGGTCAGGAGATAAGTCTCACTCTTCTGTAAGTCAGGCATTTATAGGAAATCAGTTTCTTGGTTCTTAAATTCCATTCTTCTGAGGGCATATGTGGGAGATTCTTTATTCCATATCTTCTGGTTCCCTTTGAGATGGAAGTCTTTCTCCACCCCTCTCCTCACGTGCGCTGCAGTGTAAACTATGCCCACTTCCTAGCATTCATGCCAGTTGTCTGCAGCATCTGGTGTCCACAACCACTGTCTCTATCTTGAATCTTGCCCTCCTCTTGATGGTTTTCCTTCTGGTTCTTGCTTAGAAGCTGTACCAGAATCTAAATATACGAAGGATCTACAGTTCTAGGCTTTTCCAAACTTCGTCTCACCTCATAGAAATGCAACTGGCCTGTGCCGGCCCTCCTGGGGACCCCACAAAGTGAGGACTAACTTATCTAATGAAATCATAGAAGCTAAGGTGTTAACGGGTGAGTTATTTCACTGTTTTGATAATAGCGCTCACAGACTTAGCGCAGGGTCTCTCACACGTGGACTAGAGTGGAAGGAGAGGGTGGAGAGCAGGGGTAAGGGTGGAGGAGGGTGTTAGGGGTATATTATTGAGGGTCTGAGAGTTTTTATCACATTTAAGTTTTGTATTTTCACTTCATGTTAATCAACGCTCGACTGTGCATTTTAATTTACCGTTCCGTTGGCATCAAGGGATTGCCAACTTATAGTGCGGCGTTTTCAAAGTGGAATGTAGTCTCAGAGAATTTCTACTTCTAAAGTGCATCTCTTTGCTCCTCAGACTGGGAAGTACTGACTCAAGGAATAAGCTTCCTTGAAATGTGAGTGCTGTCTATGTTCCTAGCAGCACCGCAGGGAGAGACAGAAATGTAACCCCTGAGTCTTGCCCTCAAAAATTCATAGGCTCATTAGGAAGATGACACTGGAACCCTTAAAAAATGAAATACAAGCAGGCGGTCACAATGTGAGACATGTCACAAAGTGGTATGTTATTAAGTGATGTGGACGACACTTTCTACAGAGGTCAGATGCAAGAGAGCTTTCCCTCCGTGGGAATGATCATGGAGCCTTCTTGGTCTGGGGAGGGTCTGGCCGGATGCCAGTCAGGGAACTGAGCAGGGCTATATATAGATGAAAAGTAAGAGTTAAGTAGCCAGAGAAGAAAGAGAGAGATTCTAGGCATGAAGGAAGTTCACGAAACAACAAAGTCCTGAGCTTGGGATGGAGATCACAGTGGACTGAATGGAGGGTTCTCTTGGGGACAAAGTGGACAATGTGGGTTCCCCTCTATCAAACTGAGTACATACTCAGGACATCAACACAGCAAGGACACCAACAAGTTTTGCTTGAGATTTTGTTCCTTGGTATTTTGAAAAAGTATCCAGAAGTCATTATGGGGAAAATTAGAACAGAGTTGGGCTTCCTCACACTTACATTATGGTTTTTAATAGTGTATATTCACTTCTGTGGAGACAGAGGTGAGACACCACAATCGTATCAGTGCTTGTTCCTCAAAAGGTCTAATGCAGCCTGTTAGGAGAAAATCAAGTTGGGGCCATATTCTAGCGGACTTGAATTCCAAGTGAGGCAGTCAGACCCCGCCCGCCTTGATGTGCAAAGGGCTTCAAGGGCACTGACAACCTCACACTTTCTGGGTCCGGGAGGTTCCACCCCTAGTCTAACACTGGGTTTCAGATCCTTCACTGCGCAGTGTACAAGGCCACACACGGAAGAGTTTTCTTTATTTCGGTGATTTATGCTTCTTCGTTTTATTGCCATCATTGATTGGCATTGGTTGGAGGAAATCATATCCTCTTGAATGCAAAGCCACCCTTGCAGAATATCCCCTAAAACAACTGGTGATGTTTATCGCTCTTATTGGCAGTCTGGAGACAATATTGATGATATTCATACAACTTTTTCATTCCACCAGGTTACCGGGACACCACGTTGTTGTTGTCACCTTCACCCACGTGGTGCTTGGGACAGTGAAGACATGGCATCGTAATGCCTTGAGTCACAGGTATCTGTGAAATGAGTGAATGAGTGAAAAATTAAAGAGGACCCGTGCTAAGAAGAGGCATCCCAAGATTGGCATTGGGAAGGCAGCTGGAGCAGACAGTGGCAAAGGCCTCCTCGGAGCCTCGGAGCTCTCCTTCCCCGGCACAGGTCAGAGGGGATATTCAGTCCTCCAGTTGTCTCCCAAGAGAGAGCCTCTTTCTGTCTTTTCCCTGGAGCTCTCTGAGAAACGTCGCACCACCTCTGCAGCCGGGGGTCTCTGCCTCTCCAAGCTTCAGCGCCATTCTTCCCAATGGCCACCGCAGCTCCCTCAAACTGCGGTCTCAGTGCATCCATCTGCCTGCTCCTTCGAAGCCAACAGCTCCTGTCAGGGCCAGGGTAGGACTGTGGTGAGAGCCAGCCCAGGCGGAGAGCCCACAGAAGGCCCTGGTGGGGAGGGGGGAGAGGCGTGTGCAGAAACACCGCTCAAGGTGATGGGGATCTGCAGGAGGCGGAGAGGGGCCCCAGGGATTCACTCGGCAAGAGTAATTACATTGAACACAACAGATCTCGGGGCCAGCATCACTGCCCAGAGCATGGCCCTGAACGAATGTGGATTGCTTCAATTATCTGGGCATCTTGATGAATGGGCACGGCACACGCTCTGGGGAAGATGGGAGGAAACGAGCCACAGATTAATCACTCGTGGCATCACTGAACGGAGGGTGTTTAGAGCCCGCGAGAGCCCCGGGGACAACAGGTTCACAAAAGCAGAGAGGGAAATGGAAAGCAATCAGGGCGCAATTAGAAAAAAAAGGGGAGGAAGCCAGTCTAACAGCGAGGCTCATCTTTTTTAGACGAATTTGCATAAAGGTAGTGACAATGGAGGTAGCCCTGGTAGGGACTAGGGACAGATAGTGGGGTTCTGTTATGGGAACTGCCTGCCTCCAGTGGGGCCAAGGGCTGGGCCCCAAAGGTAACCCCAAACCAGAGAAGGAGGGTCTCAGAAACAAAGGTAGGGGTGTAGGGAGGAGCAAGACAAGGAGGCAAGAACTAATGAGAGCAACACTGTGGAGGCTTCCAGAGGAAGAGGAGGTAATGTGCCGTTCTAGGCTTTCCTAGGACTCCAACAGTGCGCCCCATTAGTGGCGTCTCAGGACCTCTCTGCCCCCAAAGTACTACCGGGTAGGTGAGCCAAAATAATGAGAATTATTTTTCCTGGAGAAGTGTTTGGTTGTGTAGGTCCAGCATGTAACATACGGTCTATCATAAATGTTTCCCGAACGAGTGAACACAAATAGCTAGCATTAGTTACACTTCTCCTGTGTCAGGCAATATGCTAAGTGCTTTACACAAATAAATTTAATGTAATTCACACAATCTTCCTATGTGGTGTTTTTCAATTCCTCTTTTAGGGGTCTTAAAAACCAAACAAACAAACAAGTGTCAAATAAGTGAAGTAACTTGTTTAGCCAGTAAGTGACTGTGTGTTGGATGCGAGGAAAGAAGAGCAAGGGGGAGGGGGCGGAGGGGGGGGGGGGGTGGGGGAGAAAGAAAGCAAGAGAGGAAGGGGGAGGGTGAAAGGAACATCTTAAGAAAGGCTGTGAGAAGTCTCAGAGAATTTCTTGTGAAAATCATTTGACTTAGCAAAAAAGCGCCTGGCACGTGGATCCACTTTAATTCCTCTTTAGTACCAGGTGTTGAGTCCTGTGAAGAGCTGTGAAAACTAGCACAACCTCACATGGGACTGAAAGAAAATAAACCAACAGGGCAGGATTTTAAGTGAACATAGAGAATACGACTCTCACAACCCTGGCTCTTCGGGCTACTGACTCCTGCAGCCTTTGGCCACTGCACGGAGACCATGGGAGAGAGGGGTGCTGGTGTGCTCACTGTCCGGCTTGCTGGTTGTCGGGAGACACGATTCTGTGACCCTCCTACAAGCAGGGTTTATTCAGAATAAGAACAATAAAAACCACTGAGGGACTGAAGGGAAACATGAATGAGAAAATAATCAGATGACCTCACAGATGTGCACACGACATCATCTGCCTCAGGTGCAGAGAGGCAGGACACACTTTGAACTCTGAGTCCCCTAGCAGCCTGAGCAATGAGGGAAATAATCGACTGCAAGGGCCATGGTATCCATGGGACAAAAATAAACCCATGGTTTAGAGGAAGCACGGCTTTTTCTGCTGCTGAAAGCTCAGATTTTTTTTTTTTAATTTTATTTATTTATTTGAGACAGAGAGAGACAGAGAACGAGGAGGGGAGGGGCAGAGGGAGACAGAAACTTTACAGAGCCCGAGGGGAGGCTCGATCTCACGACCCTTGAGATCATGACCCTGAGATCACAACCTGAGCCGAAACCAAGAGTCGGACGCTTAACCGACTGAGCCACCCAGGTGCCCCTGGAGCCCCAGATCTTTTTGTCTTGGCAGTGCGCACAACAGTGCCCTGCGACGATGATGCAACCAGCAGGTCTCGTGTTTGTGTGCCTGGACGCCATGCTCACCACTGCAAACCTGCAGCAGCAGCCCCTCAGGGCATGAACGCCAAGGCATCACAGCCCCTGCTGCAGGGACAGCACCTTCCTTGCTGTGGCCGCGACTGCCGCTTCCTTGGAGCCAAAGCCCCACGGGAGAGGAGCAGCTGGGGGCTTCAGAAGCCCGCCCAGGGAGCACCTGTCTTGGAAGCCTTGCTCCAGGCAGGTAGCTGCACCTGGCCCACTGCCCGAGTGGCCGGTCCCCAGCCCAGGGACAGGAAGGATTCGGTAACCTGGGAGGAAGCCCTGACCCCCAGGGTATAACCCCCAGGGGACAGGTAGAAAATGCCATGGCAGGACAGCCGCCAGCGAAGGGCTGTCCACTCAGCTCCCTGTGGGAGGCCTGGAGCCCAAAGGCGATCCCTCAGCGGTGGCTCCACAGTCAGATCGTGGCCTGTTTTCCTCGGCTGCTGAACGGGGTCCTACAGACGCAACACGTCAGATAATAACTTGGATTCGATTAACACGGGCTGAGCCGTTTTTAGGCACCGGGGTCCGCAGGGTGAGCCGCACTCTCCAGCTCAGTGCGTCCCCGCTCTCAACTCCCAGGCCCGCCCGTTTGTCGTCTGCCTGCACCGGGTGTCACCTCCCGGCTCGTCTCCTCCTGCTGCTCTAAGGACCCTCATCAGATCTCCCCTTTTCTGGGGCTGGTAAAGACAACCTGGGCTGCAACTCCTTTGGACAGTCCTCTTCCGATTCAAAACAAGACAAGGCCTAAACAGACCTTTAAAAACAAAAACAAAACAAGACAAGGCCTAAACAGACCTTTAAAAACAAAAACAAAACAACCCTAGATCGCTAGATCACAAAAATGCAGGCACTTCGCCCCTTTTCACCTTCCCTCCTTCCTTCTTGCCCAAATATTTTATGAAGAATTTGCAGTGTTGCCTTCCTCGGCACGAGGGGCTCCGAGGGGGACAGAACACAGGCCCCGGGCTCAGGAGCTCACACTCCGCTGAGCAGGTGGGCACCTCCACTCCTGGGCAGGAGGGGCTAGCGGCAGGGTGCTGGGGGGCCGAGAGGAAGCCCCCGCCTCCCCGGGGGCTGTGGGAGTATGGAGAGCCAGTGTCAGCTGCCTGAGAAGTTACATGTGAAGAAGGGAGGCGAAGGCTGATGCGGATGCTGAGGTTAATCTGTGTGACAGGCCCTGGCAAGGAGGGTGCCGCAGAGGTAACCAGAGGCCTGGGTGGCGGCTCAGGGGTGTGAGCTGGTTCCCAACTGGGCACAATTTTGTCTAGAGACAAAATGTCTGCAGACATTTTTGGTTGATGCAACTGGGTGTGTGCTGAGGGTGGGGAGGGTGCTGCCGGCATCTACCAAGAGACTAGAGATGCTGCTAATAACCCTTCAATGCACCCAGCGCTCCCACAGCAAAGAATTAACTGCCTCGGAATGTCCAGAATTGAGAAACCCCTAGCCTAGAGGCATGAGAAGCCACTGAGGGCTCTAGGCAGGGCAGTGAAATGATTAGAGATGTGTTCCTAGCTCCCTCGTCCATACTGAAGAAGTTAGGAAACTATTTTTTTTTTTTTTAACCGGAATATAGCTCGGGGATGGCTGTTGGAACCAGGGAGCTGAAGATCTAGAATGGAGGGAACTCCTTCCCGAAGGAGAACCCCCAGAACGTCTATTTCTTCATCTGTAAAATGGGGTGTGAGATTTGCTTTATTTTATTTTAGAAATCTTTTTATTAAATAAATTTTATTTAATACTCTCCTTGACTTATTCCTGTGTTACTGAGATGACCAAATACCATAGTATTTATGGAAGGCTTTGTGAAGTGAAAAGAAATGTGGATGAAAGATATTTTTGTACCATAAAGAGCACCTTTTAACAATTACCCCACTATTGTGTGCTAACTCTATTAAAGTAGAAAATATAATTAAGCAAAAATGAGGGCAATAAAGCTCACCCATCATTTCACTATCCAGAAATAACATTTGAACATTCAAGTGTATATTTTTAGCTTCCCAGACTTGTGTGTGTGTGTCATTTTTTTTTTTTACAGTAAAAACTGGGATCCTACTTCCCCTACAAATATGCATTACAAATAGCATCCTATATCAATAAAATGTTTCAAAGAGTGTCCTCTGTTGTGTATTTCAAATTTTCCACATTCACGAGGAAAATTGCTGGGAACTGCAGCTCCTTGTTGAATTTAATTCAATTAAAGCAAAAAGTGGCCCTGAGAAATGCTCGGCTCAGCCAGCCCCGTGCCCTTACTACTGCTGGGGGGGACATTGCCTGGGATCCTGGAGTTTCAGGCAGATGAGAAGCAATAAATACTTCCCACGTGGATGGAAGAGTTGGTCGTACCTTTGTCGTGGGAACTTGGCTTCCTGCTCAGGAATGCGGGAAGGTGGACAGGTGGCCCACCCTGCGAGGCACTTGATGTATTTCAAAAGCGCCACAAATGTCCCCTAAAAACTGTTTCAGCACTCCCAGCTGAGGCCACTTCTCCAAAGCCCAGCCAACTGGGAATGGTGGACCTGTAACTTGCCTTCCTCCAACAATTAATCTGTTGACTTAGAAATTATGACATAGTAACCTGTGACACCCCTCCCCCAGAAGGGGCTGAGCAAACCCAGAAGATGTGCCCTGACTCACCCAAACTCTTTTTTTTTTTTTTTAAGAGGGAGAGAGTGTGTGAGTTGGGGTGGGGGGAGTGGGATGGAGAGAGAATCCCAAGCAGGCTCCAAGCTCAGCGTGGAACCCGACCAAGGGCTGAGATCATGACCTGAGCTGAAATCAAGACCGGACACTTACCGAGTGAGCCACCAGGCCCCCCGACTCATCCACACTCTTACACAGTTTCCCTCGTGGTGAACCGCACAGGGTGGAAGGACGGTGGCCCTTGTCTGTGTGTGGTGCCGGACCGCTGTAAGGAATGTGCAGCTCGTGGTTTATCTCTCCCAGAGACGAACTCTAACTGTGAAAACGCTACATTGCCGAGAAGAGAAAACACAGAAATCACCTAAATGTCCAAAACAAAACATGGGACTCTTGTCCCTTGTACATCCATTTCCTGGAATATTAATCTCTCATTTTCACTGATAACTGTTAAAACTACACAACAACATCTAAGATTCTTATGAAAAAAATAAAATACAATAAAATTCTTACAACAGAATATTAAGTGAGAAAAGGAGGGCACAAAATTGTGTGAGAAGGAAACTACTCCTGTGTTTAAATTAGCACTTTCGTATGAAAAAGTGTAAATAGAAATAATCTTCAAACCGCCACAGTTGCTCTGTTAAGCGAGATCATGGAGGGATTTTTCTTTCCTTCCCTTTTTTCAAAATGTTCTGAAACAGGGCTATGATTACTTTCATAGTGAGTATGTTCGCGTGCGTACGTGCCCGGGTGTGCGTGAGTAGGATATTTCTGCGCCGTGTCCTTGCTTCACACATTGTAGGAAGGGAGGGGGAGGAGTGGGAGAAGGGAAGAAACCGTTGGGGCTTAGCAAATGCTCGTCACTTAGTGGGGAAGGTGAGCAGGAGAGTCAAGGAAGGGTCACCTGTGTCCCCAGGTAGCCTGTTTATGTCATCCTTGAGGATCATGCCTGGGCTGACATCCCCAAGACTGGAATTTTTTTCCCCCTCTAAAGATAGCTCTGAGGCGGACAAAGAACCTCTTCCCCAGCTGGGCTCCATGACCCCCAGTAGAAAAAGCACTCCAATGTCACAGACACAGCTGGGACCTATGCGTCCTGATTTCCCATGGCCTTGAGTGTCCACCAGTGTCCCAATCTTTGGCCCCAGACCAGGCAGGAAGAAGAGGGAATCTTTGGAAGACATTGGTCTGCTTGCTGGCTGA